GTCCCCCCCCCTGGATCCGCCACTGGCGACGCCCCCTAGAAAAATGTTGAGGAGGCGTCGCAACTGCATATAAAGGCGGCTAAACCACCATTGCCTAACCGCGCTCCAAGTTGCGATAGCAGGAAGCAGCCCACAAGTTCGCAGGTCTCTGCACCATCAAAACCTCCCATTGTGACACCAAAACGTACTCGTACTTTTGCTAAGGCGATTGATTGTGAATTAACAATGTTTGTTTGGAGTGGGCAATGATAATGGTCACAGGTACTCTTTGACTAATAATACTCGTACTCGTACTTTTGCCATGGTGATTGATCGTGAACTAACAATGTTTGTTGGGAGTGGCCAATGACGTGTATTTCTATATCGGGGATGTTATAATAAGTCGAGGCGAAACACAGGGCATTGCTTACCAGTTGCCTAATTTATCAAAAATAACACGAACCTTAGACAGCAACATCTTCTGGCAAATTAACATAAATACTTTTCTCTTTTAATACGTTTTTTTTTTCATTTCCATCTTTCATTGATTTACTGTTTATTGCTTTTTTTATTATTATTATTTCATCTATTTTTTTTCCCAATATTATTACCAATATATATCAATAGTTTTTGTAATTGTAGTCTGTTGATTTATTTATTAAACCATTGTTGTGCTTTAGACAGTAATTCTTGTACAATTTGTATGTTTTATATATGTGTTTTAGCAGTTAGTGTAACCATTTTAATTCCTTCTGAGGAATTTTAAGTGTTTCAATAAACCAAACCTTTGAATGCTTAGTAGATCTTCGCTTATGGATAGATCGATTCCACCACATCAAAGCAAATAAAGTTATAATATGCTTTGCACCGATACGGTTAAAACATGTGAATACGAAAGAAGCGTATTTCCACCGGTGGATGTCGGTAGCTACAATAATCTTTTTTTTATCCATGCTTTGTTTTTGACGCAGAGGACACTATTAAAAAATCGTGGTCATTGATTGCTCTGTTTAAAGTGCCTGTGAAATGGCTGCTATTTTCACGCCTAAAATTATCCATTGATACATAAATATTATTATTTTTTATGTTTCTACGCATGAATTATTTTTTTAAGTGAAAAATTGTGTTTTAAACTCAGTCTACTGGTCTACGGCAACTTTATTTTTGTGTATTTTAAAACGAGGCTCCTCATTAGCTTTTCATTTGCATACAGAAATTCCCCTTGTGACGTCAGAAGGGGAAGTCGCATGGCAGCTTGCATTGCCGATAAGTGTAAATAAGGCAAATTTCTTGTGCAGTTTTCTCGTCTTTGACTAAATTGTCACTTGTGTACTTGTTCGTCGTGGAAGAATGGACCATAATGAACACATAGTATCAATTTTTGTTGCATGGGGTTGAGTTAGATGCGAAATATGTCAGTTCTGGTGTAGCTGGTCACCGTGATCGTCACCGACACCGGCGTACGTTTGTACACTGTCGCTGGACAAAATAGAATTTGACGTCGGAATTATCTCGTTATTTAGCAGGTTACTAAACACGTCACTACACTGTTTTATTTCATCGATCGTCTGAGTAAAACTTTCAAAATTAAAATAAAAGAGAACAAATTTTGACATTCTAAACATTAAATTATAATGAAAAACAACAAATCACAGTTACTAAATAGCCGCGTGGAAATAAATTGACATTTTGTTGAAATAGGTGAACGCTTCGGGTCACGGCGAGGGCAAGTGCGTTAAAAGCGGCGTTTAATTGGATAACAAAAATAACCGAGATCGACACACATATAGATAAATTCTGAGTGGATTCGAGTTAGCGTGATCCATGGCGCGATTGTCATAATTATAACATCATATTGAAACTTTACTTGGTGGAAACACATTGACCAAGCCCGGATTCTTATTTCATAAATTATTACGCGGATCAAGCTGCAAGCATGGAGGTAAAACAAGAACAGAGGTGTGAATTCAACATTCAACACCAATCACCAAACAATTCAGAAACTTTTAGCCACAGTCCCCCTATAGATAGAAACAACGCCGACTGAAAAATGTGTATCGTTTAAAAGTATACTGAATGACCAGTGTTATTACGGCTTAGGGGTATGACTTCCTCTCACATTTTGTCAATTTTGTCCAATTACAGCTGTGAAATTTTCCTATGATATTAAAAGATACTTAATGTGTGGCTCTAGTACGACTTTTTTAGCGGGACGGCTATGTGGTTTGAGTTACTGGTCACTAATGATATTCGTATAAAAGTCCACTTCCTGGCTTTTTGATTCGCCCAACCAATTATACATTTTAAGCTGTGTATTATATTATAGCATTGTCAATACCAGCGAATTTTATGACGTCATTGCCCAATATTATTCGCGATAATGTATTGCATTATTGAGCATCAAGGACCCGTACCATGCATAGGAAAGTTCGGAAAACAAATGAAGAGATGGGCATTCAATAATAAGGGGAATTATGGGGTGAAAACGATTAAAATCAAAATTGAAAATGAATAACTCTGAGCTACTAGTATATGAAAAATAATTATTTGTTCTTAGTTTACATGAAAAAATGTCATTCCCGTCATAACGACAAACACAAATCGTCGTCTGGCCAATCCCAACTTCGCGAGAAACACCCGGTACCGACGTACAACGCGTAAATAAACGTACCTCACCAAAGGTAAACATGATGGCCCGTTTTATCGATGTCGACGAATCCCAGTTAAATGCGCTCGAAAATGCAAGGAATGAAAAAAATACTTCACAGCAGACTAAATACATGTTTTCTTCCTAGAATGGCTTAAACACAAGAGGCATGCGCCACCAATTTTGAAGACATTCCTGTCGTTGAGCTCGGTGCTGCTCCGTTCGGACATTCCTTTCTCTACAACCTTTCTCTATAATACTCAACAGTGGTGACAACACTATTACCGCGCTAGATGATTACAAAGCCGGTAAAGCATAATAACATAATTAGTTACCATTTCCAGTGCGACTAAACGGAACACATCAGACTCGGCACTAAGTATAGCTTGAATAGCTTTGGTTTGAATATCTGTGAGTTGCATGGTGTTTGGATACCGTCGCCGTATTTCCTCGGCATCCAGCCAGGCACAGCTTCCACTGTGCGCAGCCTGGCAACCATCACTCAGAAAACGGTACTTCGGGATGGTTGATGACACCTACTGAACAGTGTAACAAAATTACTCCTACATATGCAACATATTTAAATTTGGTTGTTTAATATTACTTAAAAGTTAAGTTTGTGCTGTTTTCTCGATTTTAGCTATTTTCAGCGGCTTTTCGACCGGCGCTCCAAAGCAGATGGCGCAGAGCCTATAGAAATACACGGTAGAGTGGTGCGCGTCTTTAGTCTTGTGACTTAGCTCCGTCCCGAAGATTTTGACGGCTTGGCCAAGCGCGTTGATGGCAGAGGCAGTATGATTGACTGTTGGTAAATTGATTCTAAACTGTGAGGGCACTGTCACATACACATAGTCTCCATAGTCTTAATGAAACACTTTCACCTTGAAAATTCAAGAAGCTCGCCGACTTGCTGCGGGGATTTTACGCTTCACCTCGCAAGCTAGATGGGGTGCAGTACAGCAAGCCATCGCTGTCTGGTTTACGAGCTTCAATCCATCGACACATCACTGGTCTTAAAATCATGTAGGATAGGGAGTTCCATGTTTGTGTTTTTTTGTGTTTTTTTATACGTGTTATGTTGAAATTCCTCAGCGTCGACTTCCCGGTGAAATGTCACAGTTCGAGCACAGTTTCCATAAACAAATAAAAGTTTCCGTGTTCTTAGGTGTGTTTTTTATTTATACACTCAGATTTAAATCACCACGTACATGTACCCCGGATACGCACCCCAACGCATAGTCGATCCAGCAGGTCCACAGCGGCGATCTAGCGTAGTAGTCTAAGGCCGTGGAGGACACCGACGGAGACGGTGTGCCGTTCGCTCCGGCGATCACTACAATGTTACTCTACACCACACATCAGTCACTCGTTCACTCGCAATGTAAACAAAATATTGTTTAAAAATTGTGGAAAAAAATCCAGAAAGACATTTAAATTATTCAGATTCACGGGCCAGTGACTGAGAAACTGTTCCGTTCACTGTGAATTTTCTCCAAATTTTCCTTCGTGTTAGAACCAGAAAATCCACTGGTATTGACAACGCTAAAAATAATAACAATAATGAACTCCCTGCCAGCCCAGAATGGACTCAAGCACACTTTTTGCTCCATATATGGGCTCGGCTTGCGTCTCGCAAATATATGTCGCCCACACCTATTTCCAGGATTTGAAGACGCTACTACTCGGGCGAGGTGCATGATGGGTAATCTAGTTAGTAATATACGTATTACATTCCGCGTTCTGGCCAATTGTATCAATGAATCGTTTCATGCTGCATATCGGAAATGAAAATCATTAGCTATTAATATTTGTGTTGTTTTAACATTTAACTTTTGATCTACAAGAGACAACCCTCACAATTTTTCATAATTTATTTTAATATTTAATCGAATTTAAGTCAAGTTTGCATAGCTTAAGTTTAGGAAAAGAGAGGGTATGTTCAAGTTATATTATTATTAATATGTTTGTACCATACCTACCCCCTTATATTCAACCTTTATTTAATTAAATTTGAATTGAAACGCAATTCTATGTTGAATTGAATTGGATTGAATTGAGTTTAATTAAACTCCAATAAGCACAACTCTGTATAGAAACGTTTTTTTTAATCGAGTTCATATCGCAACTATATTACAAGTCATTCCAACGTGTGTCGTCATAACGATGGTACGACGTGAAGGGCGTATATTGGTGTGTGTGGGTTGTGTGTGGGGGGGGGGTGTGGGTTTGCACTGATCATTTATGTGTACTTACATGACGGTAATACATTTTGTGCGTCTAAATTACAGAATCGTGCACCTTGAACATCGATCATATGCTTATCGAAGCTGACTATTTAAGTGAAATTACTTTTAATTGTTCTGATAATGAAGCCATGGTCGGAGCTCAAACTATTACATGCATTGATGACAGTAGGTGGGATAAAGATATGCCTTACTGCATAGGTAAGAACATTTCTTTATAAAAGCTACAACTATTTTGAGAGGGAACATGGTGTGTTAGAGTTTCGGCTGTTCTATTGACATCGAGCAAGGTAGCTGACTAATGGCCAACGCAGCATATTTATAGGAAGTTATTCGGCCTAGTACATAGTGTGGTACTGAGCGTACCATCAGAAGTAGATACAGAGAGCTTATTGTAATGCCACATATAATTTCAGCAAATATATCCCATATAGAACAAAAAGTAAAGCCTTCTGGTTGAATGTTATTATTAACACGTCTGCTGAAAACACATCCATGACATGTATTACAATATTAATTGTGTACTACATATACTATAGGTACATGCGAAGTTCCTAAACCATCAACAGTTGAGGATTATCAGATTCCAAATATAACCATCATCAGCGGTAACGATTCTTACCCATATGATTCGGTTGTACATTTGCACTGTCCAATACCAGGACTACGATTAGATGGAGTGGATACATTAACTTGTACCAACAAAGGATGGGAACCTAATAAAATAGCAGTATGTCAAGGTGAGAGAAATATATAATAATCATACATATGTCACTGTATCGCCACAAGTTACATTGTTTAGTAGAATTTGAGATAGTGTACAACGAAATACGTACGTCGAATATCGAATGACTACACGATATCCTAAGTTCTAATAATTTTCATAATTTTGCTCAGTTCTGAGCCACCAAGAGGTGAGATCGAAAACGTGTATAATTAGGTTACTATTCAAACAGTAGAGCGGCGTCGCACCTACGTTGTAAGGCTGTCCATACTTGCATCACTAATTTGTGGTATCTTCGTAATAACCTCATATTATTGACACTTATTTGCTCTTTGTTAACACGAATTAAACAAAGTATCATCGCCACTGTGCGTGAATACCAGCACGAGACGAAGAATTTGTGGTAATGAAAAAGTGGAGTACTTTTTTCGACCTCAATGCGATCTCGTTGACCCTTTACGAATAACAACCACCGACTTATAATAATCAGTATATAATTAGTAATAGGACATTATAACGAGGATATGAAAGAAGTATGCACGAAGACAGTACAACGGTAGTATCCACCGATGCACAGTGGAGGTCGATGCGACTGCGCACTGTCTTAGTCCATACTTTGGTGTATCCTCGTAATAACCTTATTATTATACATCTTTTTCTTCCACGGATACATCATGGGAATGCCAAAATCCAAAAAGTTTAGAACAGAATCAGCGAACTGTGTGTGGAGTCCGGTCAAACCCTGGCGGCAGCCATGTTTGTTTGTTTTTTTGTTAGAGGACGCTTATGCGCGTAATCATTCCATATTTGGAATTTGCATTTCCTTATATGGTAGGATAAAATACCCTGTAAAGTACCGCAAACTTACGGCACGCTGCAACCTACGGCGTTACGGTGACAGATGTATAATAATATACTGCATTTAAAGTTTTGTCAACAAAATCAACTGCCATATTAATACAATAGTAATTGTACGACGAGCTCAGCGTGCGCGACCTCGCCAGTGATGATTCACTGATGCATTTACAATTACCACTTGATGTCAGATGTCGTTACCAATTCTCAAAATATGTCTTCAGGGTATAACACTGTATATATTTACACATTTCTACAGACATTAACGAATGTCTAGAAGGTAAACATGACTGTCATATGCTACTGAAACGCGAAGAATGTCACAATACGATTGGCAACTATGAATGCATATGCTTACCTGATTATGAGCGAACTGCAGATGGCGTCTGTAACCCAATTCCAATTAAACAATGCCCGGTAACCGAAGGTATGTTTTAGTATTACATAGTAGAAATATATTTTACAGTAATATATAACAAACAAATGAATAGAAAGACAAAAAACAAAGACAGTCAAAATAACAAAAGAAATGTGATAATTTCAATTCTCTCAGAGTTTAATCAGTGTGATATACATAAGTGTTTTGGTTTTTTTAGGGATAGACGTCTGTGAAGATGAAACTGAATATATTAGTGGATTTGAATACACATGGAATAACACCAATGCAAATTGCAGTTCTCAATGGGTTCCATGTCCAACTGGATATATTGGTAATATCTAGATGTAAATTAATACTAAGCAACACATACTACAATAATAATTTCACAATTGCTATAATCTCGAAATTTAACCTGTTTTCTAATCCTCTATTATTATTATACAGATTCTTGGATAATTTTGTTTCGTTTCAGGTTACTTATTCAAAGAATGTGACGTTGATGGTGTATGGTTAGAAGCCGATACAAGTAGATGCATCTCTCAAGAAATTATTGATATTACTAAGATGGTAATGTAAAACGTGAACTATGTCTGTTATCTAATCTCAGTTCGACTCTTTATACTTATTACCATTTGAAAACGTTATAACTTCAGTAAATCTGTCTCAGATCTGGACACTCCAATTCTTTTTTGTTTAAATTATTGTTCCACAGTTGGAAAACATGACAAATGTTGATGACATTGTATTGGTAATGGAACAACTCAATGAAGTGGAAAACAATTTCGGTGATAAGATGGCTAAAGCTGAAGTGCTGTCGATCATTATTGCGAAGAATCCACTTGTATTTAATTCAACTAATGACAAAAAAGACAACTATATTAACGTAAGCAAAATATGTAGTTTCGTCTTTTATCACATTGTGAAATTATAATCGCATCATTTGTGTATAAAGCATGATGTACAGACGAGCAGTTGTTTTTTCGTTGTTTCATTCACTTTTTGACAGAACAAAACATTCAAAGTGCTCACCTATGTGTACATTTTTTTTATTTCAATAGACTATGTTGCAACACCACAGTAATTTATTAGACTTGCAAGCTGAATGGGAGTCGACACAGGTTAGAAAAATAATCCTTTAGAAGAAACTGGATGCTACCTTTTGTCTACAGTTAAGGCTCAGGTGTTTGGCGATCAATGCTGACGCAACTTAAAACTCTCTATCTATTGATGAGGCTGCATATTTTTGACTCACTTCTAAAAACTCTTGCAACTAAGTGTAACTCCAAAAAAATATTGCGCAACCTAAATAACACATTCTTCGTTTACAAACTCTCAATAAGATTTGAGGATAATTAACACTCTAAATTACGCAAATAAACCCAAGATTTAGCCAATATTAGCAATACCGTAACAGGCTCACTATATTACCGAATGAAATGTAGCGTATCCATTATTTAGTTAGCAAAACTATGAACTGTTGGTTACAGTGTTGGTTACAATGTCGTTATTCGGGAAAACGAGTATATGAATGTTCAAATGGTGACAAGTAACAAGTCAATGTCGCTTCAGTGTCATATTTTTATTATACCAACAGTGTTTGTCATCGACGTCACATAATCGATCCATGGCAGCATTCGTGCTTGTCCAGCAATAATTTATAAACGACTGAATCGATGGGTCATAATACCCGAAGCCTAAAGTCACCTTGAAGATCAGGCCACCTTTGACAGATCTCTCGGTCAAATACATAACTATTGAGTTTACTCTGGGCTGGTTAAAACAAATCAATCAACCTGTGAATTAATTTCACGAGTGTTATTTTTAAATATGTTCCAAGACAAAAAATCACCAGAAAAGTCGTAAACATTTCATCCAAGACTTTGTTTTGAGTGCGCACAAGGGCAGAGAACTATTTTAAATTCTTCCAAATCATTTGTTAATCCGGCATTACATTTCATTCCTATGCTGACACGCCCTCGTCGAAGAAGCAAACAGAACAAAATTGTGAATTTTACAAAATACGATATATTTTTGGACATTTCTCGAGACATATTGACATCAAAGACCAAATGACACCCCATCTTGACTGGGACTCGGCATCCGGAAGACACATATCCAAGACAATTTTGCAAACATATTGTTTCGATTTGATCTGGGTTTTTTTATGCTTCGAAAGCTACACAATTTGCTGCTTTCTATCGGTTGGATAGAATATAGCCATTAGGAAGATCTCAATCGTTAGCTTCGATATCAATTCTAACGTGTTGATATATATGTGTTCTTTCTTGTGTACTCTATTCCAGCATAACATCATTGAGGGAATACAGCAAGTTTTCATCAACATCGACAAATTCGGTCAAACAGTATACGACTATATGTTGGAGATTGGAAGACGTGACTTTAATCTGAAGACCAATAACATTGGTAAGTTGACGAGAACTAAACAGCTGAGTAGTTTTTTTTTTCAGAATACACCATAACACATTAAAAAATGAATAAAAACATGAAGGCTGTTGCACCGACATTTTTACAGGTAAGAAATGTTTCGGGTGTTGGGGTATGTGTGGTGTTATATATAAAACATTGTTTTTAAAGGTTACTGATTACTTTCTACCTAATTATATTTACGGTTTTATGTTTTACTTGCTAGATTACGAGGTACATTTTATGGACGGAGACTGGTTTGAAAACAAAGAATACGTAATTTTACCTGAATCTCTGAATAATCGGACTACATGGAGTTATATTCGTATACCCACGGAAATTGTTCAAACCGATCATGAGGAATTACAAGGTATTGTCAGCAATTCGATTGTATTAACATTAATATTCCTGCTTACAGCAATGTCAGAACTAAATTAATTGTTGTATTACCTTTATTTTACTGCATTTTAATAGACAAGATTGCCATCATAGTAGTAGTATATCATAATCTCTCGGAGATACTACCAACAGAAGCAGTTGGAACAGTGTAAGTATATACTAGTAACTATTGTGGAGTACTGAAATTTTATTTTATTTTATTTTATTTATTTATTTATTTATTTATTTATTTATTTATTTATTTATTTATTTATTTATTTATTTATTTATTTATTTATTTATTTATTTATTTATTTATTTATTTATTTATTTATTTATTTATTTATTTATTTAAAAATACAAAGGCAGACATATTTGCCCTGACCCACTAATGTCATACGTTTATAGTCATGTAAGAGTTCCTTCTTTACAATGTACACTTGACAATGATACTTGCTCAGTAGTAAGGCTGCAATACCGTATCCAATTTAGATATATTTTAAATCCATGTGAGTGTAATCAAATATCTTCAATTAGATGTTTCACGCATTAATCATTTGAGTAGATGTAATTAATTGTTGTTGATTTATATTTCTGGACCAGGAAATCCAAATACCGGACATGGGTGACGAGCGTCACAGCCTTAGTGAATGTTATCAAAGTAAATACGCCTGTTATATCAGCTAGAATATATCCCGAAGACGGTGTACAAACGAGTGACCTGAAACGAAATATCTCTTTGAAACTAAACCACATTCAGGTAAGTAAGTCGCGACAAATTTGTTATTTATTGTGGAAAACAGGTTAAGTTTGATGCATGTCGGCAATTTTAGTGAGAGATAACAGTATATATGTTGCCATGTGCAATTAAATTAATATTATTTTCCTACTAGTAATCAATATGGCTTCACCATATATGCTTTTTCAGAGTCTCCTACAAACTTTTTCATAATTTTATAAAAACTAAATAATGTGTGTACATCACAAATCTGTAATCATGGATTGTCACCTAATTTATACGAAGTGGTTGCTAATTGCATAGTAAAGAAGCTAAAACCTAACAACTTGTCATAAGGGTTTAAAGGGCGGTAGTCGTCGCGCTACGCATGCGCCAGATATGGGTCTCATATAAACAAAGATGGCGATTTTGACTGTCGCGCACACCAACAATAAAAAGCAGGTTAACATGTAATTTTAAGAAGTCGTCAGTGGTAATTAGTGCAAGCTGCTCCCAGGGCAAAGTTCGTACTTGTGATCGCACTGGATTATGGGAAAATCAATGTTTATCAACACAAATGTCGCACATGCGCCTACCGACCTTTATTATCCTCCTAGCAAAAACATCCCTTCCAACCATGATAATTTATTCGTTTTTGCCAAAGAATTCACGCTAAAAGCCGAGTCCATGAAATGACGTTCTGTCTACTTTCGAATGTTCTATAGGCAGATATTGTAGTTATATGCGCATTCAAAAGTGTTCGCAAATTAACTCAAATTTACCTAGTATTCAGAAATTATTTAACATTCGCTTGTTTTTTTAATAGTTTGCAAAACAAATAGGTTGATGTTTGGCAGTTATCATCAATTGTATATTCCACAATGAGTACGCCCTCTGTGTTCTCCACCGCACTCAGATTTCAGGCTGTTGTCCTTTATCTCATTGTGAATGTCGCGATATACGATAAAGAGTTACTTGACAACACTTATACAGTAACTTTAGACGCACATTCAATTAGAGTGAGATATGTCCGAGATTTTGACTCAAGTATGATACATTTTGCACAAAGCTACGACCAAAATCAAGTTTTGGGCCGTTGTCATAGAAACAGTAAAACAGAAGTATTTTTTGGTAATTTGTCGACCTTCTAGGGCGCAGCCTTCCTAAAAAAATCACAGGAAAAGTTTTTGAAGTCAAATTTCTCGGCAATGATAACAAACATCTTACAAAATCAAATAGTAACGTTGGGCTCTCACTCAAGTTGAATGGAATGAGATATGTCCGTGGTTTTTACTTCAAGAATTGTAGAAGCTGATATATTTGGCGCGAATGTATTCAGAATCATGTTGTTGTTGTTGCCATGGCAACGGTGAATTTGCCAAGCTGACGAGAGTGAAGGTGTGACCTGTCTGCTGTTTGAATAAAATCGACCCGGCCAAAAAAATCACAGAAGAGACAATGCGTAAAGACGCACAAACACCAAAATGTGTAGCCTATATTGTGACGCCACACAATAACTTTTAATATAGTTGCGTTATCTTTGTTTTAAAGCGCGACTCTATATAAGGTTGCGATTTAATTGGAGTTTAACTAAACTCAATGTACTAATAGCTCCACTTTGTTGATGTGTAACTCAAGAGGTGGCGTCACATATAATGTTATTCACAAACACACTCACATCCTAATGTATTTGTGGCATTTATCTCATTCAACAGGTTGGTCACGATGCAGAGTGTTTCTTTATGAAGTATGGTTACTCTAGTGGGTATGCGACCATTTCGCTTTTTCGAAACTACTAGTAGTTTATGTCTATACCTTTTGTCACCAACTTTCTAATTTTGGAAATTCAATGGTATTTTATAGATTGTGGAGTGACAGTGGATGTAGTCGCATAGCTACCAACGATACCGAATCTTACACCATCTGTACCTGTAACCATCTGACTAATTTTGTAGCCATTATGAAAATGGGTCTCAGGCCCGTGGTAAGTTACACTATAATACAATGTAAAACGATAATACATATATATTAATCACATATTGCACTAGAATAGAACGTTTTTACTAATAATATATTTATATTTTGTCAGCCATTTCTAGAGGCAGCATGGGAATTATGTATTTTAATTGGAGCTGTTGTTGCAAATACACTTCTCCTCATCAGTCTGATCATGTTATATTATGCAAGGTGAGTTTAAATACTGTCAATATTACTCATTGGATTGTCGCTTAGCAACCCCAAACCCCATGAATGTTGCATGTCCTTGCTCACAAGATTGACTTTCTCATTGAATCTAAAGACACTACTGTTTGTCATAAATTGAAAGCCCCTGCTTGTGTTGACGCTGGCCATGCTTTTTATACCCTCTCAGTCATGTATTGTTGTATGAATGCTTTTTGCAGATTATACAGTGACCGTTATTTCACAATCAAGCAACTAGGCATATCTCTGCTGATGACAATAGTGACGTTGGTAGTTGGGATTAAATCTCAGAAGAATACGGTATGTTACTATTGCAATCATTAGTAGCAAATGCAGATTGTATTTTTACCTAAAAACCTTTAAACGACTGTATGAATTGGGGAGATAATTTGGCGCCAATTACTCTAGTTTTGTCAAATATTTAGTTTGTAACCAATGAATTAATAGACGGAAGGCAGAACTTACCATCTTACTCCAGTCTTAAAATTAAAATTGTGCAAAAATGTTGAGGAATATCAATCTTTTGTGTTAGTCTATTAGTGACTCTGCAGGAGAATTTCTCAACACTCAATGCAATTCTCACTCTGATTATCAGTTTTTCACTTATATAACGCAATTTTTATGACTACTAAGGGGAGCCAGCAATTCTGAGTTTTGTTTACACTTTTTCGCATAGTCACACACGGTGTTGAACTTCTTAAAAGAATCTGTTGTGAAATTAAATTCGGATCAATGGTGTACAGAGACTAACATTATTAGAGCTTGATGCTTATATATATATCTTATACACCTTCTAAACATTGTGCAATACATATAAACAAAAAAAGCAGACATTGATTCTATGGAACTAGGAGAGAATGGTATTTCACAATGAATACAGTACTTTGTCCACTTATACACAGGGAAATTTCGGCATAAATGGTAGACAAAATAACTCAAAAACACTAAATGGCGATAATATTAATTGAGCTCAATCGCTCAACACTAGGAAATGCTTTTGTTGAAAATGTCTGCATGAGCCGCCTAAAACGATAAACTTAAACGAAAACACAAGTGGTCGCTATGTTTAGTAAGAAAAAAATATTGTTGTTCATAGAGGGCGCTGTTTTGGTTCATGACGCCACATGCTGAACACACAGTTAAAAGTTCTTTGATTCACAACTTGTATGCATATGTCGTTAGTTATTTGACTCAATGTTATTCGAAGTTCAGCTCATTAAATATGTCCCGTCGGTTCTATAAATAACGTCAAGATGATGTACTTTAATAGTGTCATCTAGAAAGAAAACAAGAAATGCATATCATCAATACTACTTGGCATGCGTTCGTACGGATCATACTGAGCAAACCTCTGACAGTAAATCTCATTTCCTAACATATGTAAATAGTTGGAAGTAAAGTTAGGTCACTATGGCGAATTCACAATCGTCAACTGTGCTTTCAAAGATTTATCTTTGTATATAATACGAATTTATTCGATCAGCATCATTTACGATATCCCGACACATCCCGATATACATCGCTAATCCCCTGAGCTAGTTAATTCTTACAATACATTCACCATTAAATCAAAGATGACATTCCTCTACAATAAACAATTCACAAACCGCATTACAAATAAAAGCAATATTATTTTTCCTCATCATGGGTAATTCCAGGGAATTAAATTTAGTCAGCCATGTTCAATTATATATAAATATATATAATGCTAAACACTAATTCAGTATTTCTCATTCTGTTTCATAGACAACATGCTTCGTCAGTGCCATGTTGGTTCAAACATTGATGCTTAATAATTGCACATGGATAACCATTGGAACTGCGCAACTTTTCTTGCGTTGTCATCGCTTTATCTACTCAAACAACACTGCCAGGTAAGACAGTACACATTATCACAGATTCTTTAATAATAATGCGCTGAATGAGAGTGTGCGAGGGCGGGTACATGAACTGAATGAGATGGATAAATAAGTGGATTGGTAGTAAGTGTGTGGGTGGTGGTTGAGTGAGATAATATAAGTATTATTGAATATAAATTATGCTTATACACATTGTCTTGTAGAATGAGTTACATTGTGATTGGATGGATACTGCCAATAGTATTGATGGGAGGACTGATCATATGGAATATTGACGACTTCCGGTCATCCCCAAGGTAAAATAAGTGATTTGGCTTACAAGTCATTAGTAAACAAAACTGAAGTGAATTAGCAATATATATATAATGTGTATTGTATGTGTGAATAGGATTGCAATCACTCATGTCAGGCATGTCTGAGATGTAGTCCTAAAACAGCATTTTTTGATACAAAATGACCTTCAGTCAGCCATGTTCAATCTGTTCTAAAAACACAATGAAATGTATCAAGGTCGCAATATGTTCAATGTCTTCACCATGTTTCACTAATGGCCATTACGTATGCCCGAGATTGGGGTTCGGGATAGCAGAAATGCTCAATTATGATGCATTGTTAAAATTACATTCGGACATCGTGATTCATAAATGAACGTATAAATGAAGAATTGTGTATATATAAGTTTGAACATGATTGGTCAATGCTTGCCTGATATACAGCTGTAGAACACCATTCCTTAAAGCAAAACAGTCGGCATTCAATGTATTACCCAGTATATTATTGTTCCAATTTTCGCCGTCATTTTAAATATTAATTATGCAGAAATTAAATATACCAGGAATACAGAGCCTGCCATAATCTAAAAAAAAACACTATACTAACTTTTAAACTGAACAAAAGTCTAACAGAGAAATCAATAGTATAATACGATGGTGGCCACCTTGAAGTTACGCAAATGAGGAATATTTAAATGACCACATGATTCGTTCAAGATACATTCTAGCGCCTTTGAAAAAGAATGTTGATTTTTAAGTCGATTGGAGGTGTTGATTTATGGTATCGTAGCGGCCATTAGTTTTATGCAAATTAGAAAAATTACCAACAGATTATATCATGTCATCATACGCATTTATTAAATAAAGTAAATATAGTGACGTCAGTGGGTTCTTTGTGTCATAGCGGCGTGTAAGAGTACCAAGAGCGATAGAATGAAAAGGTCTCTTGGTGAATTAAATGATTGAAATGCATTATACTGAATATATTATATAGCTACCATATCAAATAAAGTAAATACGTCGACGTTAGCGGTTGGTTTATGTTTTAACAGCTTGTAAGGGAACCAACATTTCTAATGAAATTTGAGCTCTAACGGCGAATTAAATAATTGAAATATTCACAACAGTATAAATGCATTGTGGTACATACAAATAAAATAAATAAATAGACGTTTGTTGGTATTTGTGTCATAACGGCCTTTAGAGGTATTGTCACCAATCTGGTGTGCTACCCGCGTGTACGTATGATATGACAATTACATTCAGTTGTGTATGTCAGTACGTGTTAACTTTCCCATGCAATATTACTTTAATATCCACATTCCAACACATATATGTAATTTTCTAATGTATTGTTTAAGCCTGGACCATTTTCATACTTTCATGTGCGCCATGTCAAATGTCATCACGACTGTCTAGCACTCCATAGTTGGCATGTTATTAAGTTCTGACCAACCACGTTGACTTATGCTAGGCGTCGTAGTGACGTCACGATATCACGTGGTTTCACTTATAAATAGAGGGAGGATCTCTTAAGGGGGAGAATGATGAGGAAGGAACTGAGGTTCCACGGGAAAAATTAGTAAATGTCTAAGACCGAAATAAGATTAAAATTGGATTTTTTTTAATAATTATTATTATTTGTACTTTTTTTATTAAAATCATTTAACATAACAGCAACAATATATGAGTTCTATGATTAACATTTATTCAGTAATGTAGGTTTATTTGGCGCAATAACATCTTTTCATAAACAAAACAAAAAAATATTTCCCGATTCCACCGTATGTAGCTCACTTTACCTTTACGCATAATTGCAAAACAAATGTGTGGTTCAGTTCCGTGGAATCACTTGTATTGTATACGAGTAAGCAAGGCACCAACTTTTGGTGAAAATTACGGCCCGGGAGGCCAAATTCATCAAAAACCCAAGAATCATAGTAATTTCAACCTATCATTGCCATATATCACATGCATGTATATAAAAATGAAAATGTAAAAAAGGCTACTTTGACATGTCAAATGGAACCCTTGCTTATTTTAAAAACATAATTTATAGACTTCGTGGGGCTTTGCATACCCGTTTATACTAGTGCTCCTCTTCCCCCCGGGACGGGCTTCCATCGGCCCGCGTACGCTGCAAATTGATTTCCTCAATAAAAACAACCCGCAACAAACTTGAACTTTCAGTGCATACCAACAGCCAAATTCCACACGGCTATTGCTTATCTATTTACATTTGACTTGAAACTGTGTACTATAATATGGGATAAAAACAAAATCCATCATAATCTTAGAATAGAGGACATAAATGAACAGCGTCAGATAACGTAAACAATTTATGAGTATGTCTCTATTTTCATGAAATTTCAAAGTCCCTGTTTAAAAGTAAATTAGATATAACTACTAGCCATGTTGTACCAATCACACGGAACGTTAAACGTGAACAAGTAAACCATATCACCATACTAGAATAAATATATTATTAAATTGAGGCTCATAATTATTTCTTTGTTTCTCTGGTTTATTTAAGTAATACTAGAAATGTTCAAATGTTCACAATGCAATCTATACAATAAATACCATACATATATTTTAGTGATACATTACATTATAAAACGTATTCACAAGTGAATTATATTGTTGATATTTTCAGCTGTTGGTTGGTAGACAACGTGTATATATTCTACATCTCAGCTACATGTATGACAATGCTGACTATAGTAAGTTGTACATAGTTAAATAAAATAATTAATATCTTCACTTGTGTGTGTATGAATGTATGTCCGTCTTATAACTCGAAGGGCAAAATAGGTACGGACTTCAACTTGGCACACAAGTTTCCTGCGCCACCAACACCTACAAACTTTTAGCCAATACGACAAAGGTCAAGGCCAAAGCGTGTGTTTACGTAAAAATATCCAGTACCAATGTTCTCGTGTAATTCACATTGCCATTTTTAAGGTCAAGATAAAGGTCGCAATATGACTTTGTGTAATTGTTGTGTGTAACTACAGAAGAAAAATAACCGGTGTTAGAGTATGTGTATATTCAGTATTGGGGCAAGGGGGATATGTGTGTGTGTGTTCACATTATAGCTATCAGGAAAGGGTCGCAACTGTTCTTAAACTTGGCACACATGTTCATTTTGTAATCCCAATACTAACATCTTAGGGTCACATGTCATGATAGTAACATTTTGTATGTGTAAACTGTGAGTGCTGTCTAGTAATAAACTGTATTACGTGAATATTACATTTGGTTGAAATGAATATTGTTCCCTGAAATTGTATGTCAATATGTCAGGTTCCATATTTGATGACTTTTTATTATGATCATTATTTTTATATTGAAATATTATTTGTCAGTTTGGCTTTTATTAATAGAAGTAAATTGTAAAACGTTTAACGCTTACATTGTCTTTTTTAATCTATCGTTTTAATTCATTCACATTTCACTAATACTTGATTTCTAATTGTAGATATCCTATGGTATACTACTTTATGTGTATCGAGTACTTTATCTCAATCATCCAGAATATGAAGAATCGGAGTTGCTAGAGTTTTAGTGGGTTTTATTTTCATTTATTTAGTTCCTAAAGTAAAATCTAAAATTAAATTATATATATTGTGCTG